GATATTTAAAGTGGCCAGATTTATAGATATTCATCCCTGAAATGCTCCTCCCAAATTTCAAGCATTGCACACTATTTAACACTGTGGTTTTTAACTGTTTTTAAATATAACCCTTAAATTAGTTGTTCTTTAAGCATCCTTCTATCTGTGGATTTACAGAAGCCTTCAGGAAGACAAAGGTCATTATTCCCACCTTATGAGTGGGAAAAGCACAACAAGAGTCGGGGGTTAATGATTTGCCCACAGCCATAAACAGGTTAATGCTGAAGCTAGAAAAAGAAATGTTTCCAGGCCATTGTTTTATCCTCTGGGTCACCCTCCCTTATACTTATCAAGCGCATCTTGTTTATAGTAAAGAAGTTAAACTTTCTAAAAAACTAAACCAAAGAATAAAACAATCAGTATTAAATAATTAACACCTCTCTTTTTCAATACTGTGCTTTGTAGATGAGGACAGGGAGACAGATGTGTTTATAATATTCAATCTGTTGAACCTGAAAATAAAGTGTAGGCTGCTTAACCTAAATATAGTCATCAACTCAAGAGTTGCCACCGTAGTCAGAGTATCTGCCATGCAGCACTACAAAACATTTTGTAAAGCAAAATTCTGCTGAATGTGCTCATAAATATTAGAATAGTCTTGATATGCTATGCTAAAAACATTCAATCTGAGCTGCGAGCAACTAGCATTGCATATCAATTTTTGGAAAATGCTAGTATTTGTATCCAGAGATACGACCAGCAATACAAAGTGGCAAGATACTGAAACTGGCATTACAATGCCTTACACAATTATTTTGGGTCAAAGTACCCCATTGTACATAAATTCACATAATGAAGTTCAGTACAAAGCAAACTAACAATGGACTTGGCACAGAGAAACAGATCAGCAGCTGCATTGGGAATTCAATGGAGAAAAACTATTGTAATGCTCAATGTGTACATAAAATTGTCTTTGAAACTTGCTGAAAAATGCAAATAATATACATTAAAATTAAAATTTCTTAAAAGAAAATTCAAGCTTGCTTAAAATATAAACCGATTCTAGAATCGAGGGTTTTTAAGAGCTGTGATTAGCTGATGAGAAGTGTTTTACACAGATGATATAGTAGCTATGATGGCACTACATCATTATTGCCTTGCTTTCTTTTTTTCCCCACGTTGGCAGTTATAGTGCATACACATGACTCGGAATACACTTGTTATAAAATCTTTTGGAGATACATTAAGAAGTCAGCAGATGACAGAAAACTTGTCTTGCTCTGTGGCAGGAGGAAAAATGGAGCATATTATGATAATGCAGAGCAATGCAGGCATTACAGAATACAAACAATGCTAAGCAGTATCATTTAAAGAAAACACAAAGCAGTCATTGATTTTTAGTATCTGCATTAAAAGGTCTCCATTCTAAGTAATTACATTTTGTAGGAAATATCTTTAAATGATGTTGTGCCTATTTACAAGGAATTAGGAGAATATTATACAAACAAGTGCAGGAAAAAACATTTTGCTGTGACCGTTTTTTCAAATACAATTCCTCCCCCAATATTTAAACCAGACATTACTACAACTGCTACAAAGAATACTGATTAGAAGAGAGGGGTTGGTTTGCCTGTATTTTAAAAAAAAAAATCTTTAGAGATTTTCTTGCCTTTCCTTTAGGGTGAGTAAGTGGCCAAACTCTCCCATCTTTTTAGCATTTCAAAAGCCAGCTTCCATGCAAAGGTACCCACCTGAGTGCTTACTCTGGAGACCAGGTGAGAGACAGAGAGAGGGATTTCAGAAGAGGGGAACGAGCACGTATGCCACACAATATCCACATGCTAAAGCAAAAGACTGATTTTGGACCTGGGGAAACCGCTGGCAAGGTCTACCTATGGATGCAAACTTTATTCGTGGATCAAGCAGCTGTCAGGTGAGATGAAGCATATGATGATGTTCTCTAACCAGCCTTCATCTCTCAGGTGAAGCCTGCCTTAACAGCTGGGCCAGTACAAAGACTCCCATGAGACATCTTGCTTCCTCATCAAATTGACTGTCCTGTCCCATGGGAGAGCTCCCTTTTAACTGTACCAGCAGTCCATCAGGTCATCTGGATATTTTAGCAGTTCCCAGGTATTGCTGAAGATGGCAACGCTTGTGGTTTTGTAGGGCAAAGTCTGACTTGCTCAAGAGAACAACATCGGAGGCAGGGCAGGAGAGGAGGGGGAAGCCCTCACAAAATGGGAGCTAGATGGTTGGAAGTGAAAATCTCCTTGCAAGATCAGATGTACACCCCCACAAGTTTCCATAACACTCGGTTTTGAACCCCACTTGCTCTGCCTCAGCATTTGAATAGGCTGAAAGTGCCAACCGAGATCCATCACTGGCTCTGTAGCACCACCAAGCCTAACACTTGTGCTCTTTGCCACAGGACAGGAAGAAGTTGAGGAGCCTATTAACCTTCTGGCAATATCAAACCCTGTTGCCCTCAATAATACAACAATCCCTGCTTTGCAGCAGGTGTTCAGTGATGCCTGCAAAGTAGCTCTGGATACAAAGCATTACATGGACCTCTATTGGAAGAGAGAGAGAGAGAGAGAGAGAGAGCGCACCCACAATGATGGCTGCTTTTGTTTTGTACAACTCCAGCTCTACAAGAACACATAGAGGATAACTACCTGGAAGTCCACTGTCAACACTGGTCCACTGAGTATGCAGAGTGACTTAACCAGCTACCTCAAATCACTTCCCAAAGCTGCCAGCCAACAGCCTGCATTTGACCTCCTACATTTATACTCTGATATACTCTACATTTCAAACTTTTAATTAAAAGAAGAAGAAAAAAAGTAGCTCATCCAAATCAATTCAAATGTACCGTTTCTCCCAATTACTGTGGAATGCAGAGGTCATCATCATATTGCATCATTACATTGAGGAATAATCTAGCATGAAGTCCTATAAATTAGCTTAAATAGCTTGTGTGTTTTCATCCATAACAGCATATTTCATAAAGATATACCACCGCTTTTCTGTGTACAAGGATCTAAATTGAACAGGCACATTACATCTATTTTATATGAACTTTAATGAGAAAAGGCTGATATGAACCCTTCTCTGCCTATCTATGAAGTTTAAACATTATGCCACAGAAGAAAAAAGAGATCTTATCTGGTGGCTGCACATTAGGCCCTGATGCTTTAGATTGCCTTTTCTGAGGAATGCACCATATTGCTGGCATTTCTATTCAAAACAAGCTTGTGTTTTATAGAAAAGGGTTCAACATTTACAGTGACATATGTAAGAACAGCACAGACAGAAAACTCTAAAATATAATTTACAACTCAATCTAAGGAATCATCCATTTTAAAAGAAATGATAACTGCATGAAAAGAACAACCTAATCCCTAGATTTTTATCAAAGGATATTAGTTTAGGATACTTTATATCAAACCGCAAATACCTTAGGTACTTTTATGTCCTGACAGTGGAACACATTTCCAAAAAAACACCATAATGCACCTACATGCTATAAACAAGTAAGAATTCTTCCAGAACCTATGTTGCATGCTGAGTTCTTCACATAAAATAAAATAAAATCAGAGACAGAGCTTCATCAGTTTTGTTTGGATCACTGATGAGTGCATACGTAATGACTTTCACCTCTTGAAACCTCTCTGCTTCATTCTTATGCATAGACTTGAAGGGACATTTATGCGTTTGGCTTGTTGCATCAATTCAGAGGATACAGTTACTGTAAAAATTTACATTACTGCAGGCTTGTAGTGATGAAGCAGGCAAGCACAAGAAATAAGCTTTTATTGCATTTATTTTAGATTTGATGGAAAAGTGTAGTCATTTGGTATGACAATAACCACCATAAAATTTGATTTGTTTATCGATTAAATTACATTTTATTTAAGCAGAATTTTTTTCTAAAAAGTTGAAATTTCAAGATAAATCACAAATTTGACCTATCCATCCAGATGGTGTTTCTCCTGAATTGATCGTGTATTTCCATTTGCAGTACCCACTTTAGTTTATAGTTGTGACGTATACAATGCACCAAGGACACTTACCGAAACTCAAAGTTCATTTGAGTAAAACAGTATTTTATATACTACTCTCCACACCAAACTCTTTATTAAAAATGGGAAAAAACCAATTTTCATTTCTGCATAAACTTGCCTGTAACAAAGATGGCACTTTATTTAAAATGGATTTACAGAAGTCTTTAATAAATAAATATTTTTTAAAATCTTGATGGCTTAGTTTTACTGTAACTCATTACTCTGTTGAAGGTCTTGGAATCACAGGTGGATCAATCCTTTGGTGCAGACAGGAAGGCGAAGGACAGATTTTTAAGAACTAAGCAGTGCTAATTTTCAACTAAGGGTTGGCAGCTTGAGTAGACCTCTGAGCTTTTCCCCCACTCCTGCCAACAGCCTTCTTCCCTGCCTTTTTGAGGCGCAGGCTGAGTTAGTTTGGGGCTGGAAGAGTTCCCTGAACCTGCATGCAGGTGCAAGAAAGAGGACAGCACAGTGCAGGGATAGATTTAGATGGCTGAAAATACTATGGGTCACCTTGGTTTGAACTGCACCACCTGTTTCCAATAATTAATGTGAGTTTCAAAACCCTAAATTCCCAGACATGTCACTGTTTCTCATACGCAATGCTATTCCCATTCATCTGATTTTTCCTGGTTTATTTCTCACCTCTGTTACTCCAAAACACTCAAAACAGAAAAACACTCAGTCCCAAAATCAAGTTTAAATGTACATTCTGGGTTCTTATTATTGGGTTTTGTTAGTTTTTAATCTTTTTATGAAGTTATTCAAAGCTGGTAAAGAGATTTCAGATTCAGTAGGTTTTCTAAATCTTTTTTTTTCTTTTTTTTCCTTGGTAAAACTACTGTATTACTAAAGATACCAAACCAGATTATAATACAGTTGATTTAAGACTGCAAATATTTGCCTGCAATATCAATTATAAATAATAGGAATGAAAATCATTGTCGATACCTGTGGTTAAAGGCAGATGAGTGACACTAGTTAGACAGGTGAGAGTGAACCAGGTTGATGCCAACGTTGCTCCAGATAAAAGCAGCAGCAGTATAAACTTCAGCATGCCCCTGATAAAATCTGCAAATCTAAAATAAAAGCACAGATCAGAGCAGTACAAATTCATATTATTTAAATGTGATGCCTGACAATTAATTCAGTATATTCTCATTAAACATTCTGGAGATATAAAAACAATTTAAAAATCGTTTCTCATTTTCAGAAATAGAAAAAAGGCATTTTTATAGAATGGTGATATTTCTAGCTGTCAAGCTGACGAGCCATGGATTTTTTAGCTGTCACAAAATAACAACCAAACCAGAACAATTCTCAAGGCATCAACTGAAAACACTTGGTATATAGGAAGGGGTTTTTTTTCTTCTGCATTTGTTGGACACAACATCACACCACTACTTACATCGCTGTTTTGTCAGCGTTTGCTAGTCTCCCTTGGCAGACACACTGCCCAATTAGCATATGAGGAGGCTGCTGCATTTCATTCAAGACATAGTTAAGCGTCAAGATTCATTCCTGTGGGAAATGACAAAACTCCAAATACCAGAATCCCTAGATTGAAGATGACAAGGCACAGCTTCTGAACCCTTGGATGCATTGGTGATGAAGCTCTCAGTGGCTTAGGCAAAGGAGGAACTCTCTACACAGATGGTCACTGTTGGTGGCAGTTTTGGGTTGAAATGTTCCAGAACCCAAGAGCTTGGTGCCACTCTTCTCCTACACACGCCCCACTGACAGTCTCTGGGAGGACAGCCCCACAAGTCCCTGGGCAGTCTGGCTGTTATACAGACGGAAATATGATCTTTATACCACCTGATGGTTCAACTGCTTTTTTCATCTTTTTTTCTTTTTTTCTCAAGGAGACATAATGCATTTGAGCAGTGCTCACATGGCATAATTACCAGTGCAACAGCTCTTTTCAAAAGGGATTTCAACACAGCTACTAAAAAGATACATTAGAAAAGGCAATGTCATTTATCCACTACTAATTTTCTATAATCTCCTGCTTAGGAGATGTGATTCTGGGCCAGACGGATTAGGTATGTATGTCTAAAGAATGTCTTCTACCCTCATAGTCTCCTACCTCGATTAGGCTAAGGGCAGCACAACCCACCTAGGTTGATCCATGACGAAATCTGTCCTGTCTGTCAGCTAACTGCCTTCTCTCCCCTAAAAAAAGATCACTTTACAGATACCATACAGCTTACTTGATAGAACAGATAATGCTACCAAAATTTTGAGAACTAGGAAGCCTAGCTCTACATACACCATAAGAGATGTACAAGTAATGCAATCCAAAAGAAAAAAAAAAACACCAACCCCCCACTTCTTTCCTCTTATTTTGATTCTCCCTGTGCTTTAATTCCTCATTGAATTCAGCAGCGAGTAATTCAATAGGCAGTAGAGGAAGATCAATGCTGCATATAATCTTAAAAGTTTATGACTGCAGTGTTCAAGTGGCTTATGCATTAATCTCAGAGGTTAGCTGCTACTGTTGTTTTTCTTCTGACAATCCAAATCCAGCAATCAGGATCATCTCTTCTCAGTGGTTTGCCAGTTTCTTTAGTTATTCTTTGGGATCACTGGGGTCAAAATCAGCAATTTTAAAAGCTTCTCAGAAGCATCTCGAAGTGCAAACTTTAGACTTCTTCCACAGAGACTCCCCGCTTTGCCTGCCAGCAAGCATCACTATTCCCTCTCCTTACAGGCAAGAGCAGTTATGTATATCCTGTCTAATGAAACAGTGTGAGAAATACCAGCCTTCAGGGAGGGACATTCACAGACAACAGGTCTGGAAGGGATCTCTAGGGGTCCTCCATCTCTATCCTACTAACAGGGACGTGTGGGGATGGGAGGACGATACACATCTAAACCATTCAAGATAATTAAGTGGAGCAAATATCTACCTTTACTGAGCAGTTGCAACTCCTTTTGACACCAAGATCCTGGTTTGGGTATCTGTGGTAGCAGTGTGCTCCAAGGAGCTCTCAGATATGACAGGACAGCAGAAGAGTCAAATACAAACTGAAAGGTTTATGCAGCTACTGAATTCAGCCAGCAACAGAAACAATGGGAAAAAATGACATAGCAAACTAGCCTGAACTTGGTAATCAAGGGGCTTCTCCTTCTTGTCTGGTTACAGGAGAATAAAGTCGACTGTAAATCTAGTCAACTCTTCAGAATACTTGTTTCAATCAAAAAAGGAGAGAAATTATTTCTACCCTCTGCCCCCAGCATCTGCTTTCAAAACCCTCTGTTGTGTTTAAATCCTTCATTATCATCTAGCATGTAAGCGGATGGCTGCAGCTGCTAAAAAAGTAGGCACGCCAGGAGAGAAGTTGTATACTTACCCAGACACAGACCTCTGAGCCTACTGCTGGTAAGTCTCCTGCAACTCAGCAAATCCAGCCCTACACTAGATCCTACAGTTAAAATCGCAAAACCGCACTGCTGACAACACTGTCTGTTGCTAAGGAAATTATCACCATGTCATAAAGTTTCAGCATTTTGACTACACTGCAGGTTAAAAGCAAAAAGAAAAACTAAGCCGTGGAGGACAAAACCCCAGAAATATCTACGATCATTAGCAAATGTGGCAAAAAAAAAAAAAAAAAAATCTGAGAAAAGGGAATAGATTTATATTTCTATGCAATTATATGAATGCCGCTCTTTGACATTGCTTTTCTTCAAACCAGTATCATTTGAAAGCTGCCAGCAAAGCATACAGCACCTGCCAGCTGCCCAAAATAGCCCAGGCTTTTCAATTATAAAAATGCATCACACAAATTAGCTAAACATACCTAAGTTCATGGCTATCGGGACAGCAGCGGGTGGAGAGCGGGAGGATTTATGTATTGTGCTGAGGAAAACTTGCACCATTTTGAAAATAGATAGATAAACAAATTTCCAAACTGGGCATTACTTTACATAGAGATGATTTAACACCTACTGTGACCAAATGCAGGACCAAATGCTCCAGGGCAAGGCTCAGGTTGTTACGGTTCTAAATGGTAGAATCTGCATTGATAAAAATGGCAGGAGCAAATTCCTACACTGTGCCAATTTTGCTTTGATAAATTAGCAGAAAAAAAAAAAAGAAAAAAAAACCAAACAAAAACCCAACAGCTTCTTGAGAGGTGGTTAAGGGAGAGAGCTGCTTGCTTGGCAAATCACAGTTCTGACACTGAAATACATCAACTTGTCAGCCTTGACAAGAATCATTACTTAATTTTCCTAATTACAACTTTCAGCAGATTACAGTCAGACTCGTCATTGATTCAACCCTACACAGATAAATGCTGAATAGGCCTAGGAGGGAGAGTCATCAATCAGGAGTGACAAATCACCTCCTCCCTCCCCTTCTGTGTGCAAACCCTCCCATTTGAACGGTGTATCGCCCAAGTTAGAAAGACGTATTTGGAGGCAGACTGTTGGTATTTTTTAATTTACTCAAAAGCAAAGCTCTGAATGCTACAAAATACCGCTATTCAACAAGGTTTGAAAGCAATTTTGAATCAGTTAAAGAGACTGTCAGCATTTCCTGAAACTTAACCCAGGCAATATATTAAATAAATTAATCTACCGTAAAGATTGAGATTTGCATGTTGGCATTGAGTCAGGAGATTCTCTCCTAACAAAGTTAAGTGAGCTGCTAAGGGTGCCCCTCTACTATTGAAATATCGCAAATATATGAGAGATAAACCCATGATGGAAAGGATTAAACAGGCACACTACCTGCTTCAGCATATAACATGCTACGGCATCTGTGTCATTTACAGCAGTTGGTTTTAAACATCTACTTCTCTTAGAGAGAAAACCTCATATCTGAGCTTAGCTAATCAAAAGTAACTCCCTTTAGAGGCAATCAGGCTGTGAACTTTGTTTCAATAGATTAAGTCTTTCGGCCTGCATCTGGAGCAGACAGGAGAGAAGCACTTGTTTCTTTTCCCTAGGTCAGGAGTTCTTTTCTCTCCCTCCGTCACAGTTGCTAGGCAGCCTGCAAAATGTCAGGATGAGAAACCTTATATTTCTTTATGCATTGTGTACTCTGATGATGCACAGCAAGTGAAAAGAGGAGAGCTTCAATCTCTGCCCTAAAAAGATGCCTCTTTGGGTCCACAATCCCAGAATGACTGCAACGATGACAGACCCCTGCACTTGTGCTAAACTCATTGCAGAACTGGAGTCTAAAGAGTGGACATAAAGAAGCCAGGGCAATGCTTTGATACCCACCAGATGTAAGGAAACATGTGATTGGTTTTAATCGGTTTTAAACTGCTCGAGTACCTCCTGAAAGACTTTCTCTCCCCACTCCCCCTTTTTTTTGTTTTTATAAAAAGGGACTCTCAATGAAGAAAAAGCAGCAGCCTTTTGGAAGGGCAATCCATTCCTTGCTTTTCCGCTCCCCATGTCATCAGCATTCATGATGGCCAGAGGGAGCTGTGTCTGGATATTTAAAAAGCATAAGTATAACCACACCACCCATAGCAGTATCGCAAAAAATAGTTAGGCCATATAGGAATCCAACAACCTGGCCAAAATGGGCCCAGACTAATTTCTTTGTCGAGGAACGTAACATTATTGTGGGTAGGCTGCTTGTGCTACGTTCCCAATATCCCTTGGGAATCAATATGCCCAAAATCATTGATGGAAGGAGACAGACACTAATTTCTTCAATGCTTTCCAAATGTGCTACAATGGGCTCTCCCTCATACCAGGCAGCTGAATTCACAAGAACTGTGTTTAAAAGGAGCATACAGGAAGCACTTGTCAGGAGTAACAGTATGACTTGCCAAATTGAGGCACATGCATGTGGAGTTCTCAACCCCCAGTGACCACTAACATGGAATATACAAATCATTGCTCTAAAAGAAACACAATCCCAGAACTATGCTTTTTCCATTTGAAGTACCTAGAAGATGAGAGAAAACAAGTTACGTTATTACAAGGATAAGCTAAATGACAATCACAGTTGAAGAAATGGAGAAGGACATGTAATTATTCCTACCTTGCCATTGCTATGCCAACAACACAACCTCCAACTATAGACCAAAATCCAATCCAGCCTGCATCTACCTGACAGGAAAAACAAAACAAAGCAAAGCATAGGGAAATGTGTTAAAGCTGAGAAAATAAGATGATGTTACTTTCAAAACAAATGGTGTGCAGGAGCTGCAAACTGCTAGCAACAGCCCCCGACAACAATCTGAAGTGCAAGACTTTTTCTAGGATATTCAAAAGGAAATAAATTCACTAAAAGAAAGTATGACTAAGTAGCCTATGCTCTAAATGTGACCTCTCTTTATAGAATCTGAGTAATGTCCTCTGGATTTTTATCAAAAGCTTAGAAATCCTCTTCTCCCCACTTCATCTTTTCCACCTGGTAAACATTATTTTCTTTTACTAAAGGTGCAGCAGCCAACAATACTCTCATTCATTTACCTGCCTCTTCCTTCTTGTCAAAAGGTGCGTACAGATGTGAAAATACCCACCGCTCGTGGAGAGTCAGCAGCAAGACAGATTGGGATGCCAAAGCTACAGTTTATTTTGTTTAAAATTTCAGGAGAAAAGTGGTCCATATGTATTAATAGCAGCTTAAACGTAAAAACCTGATAAAATTGTATGCTAGCGCAAAATAAAAACATGCCACTTACTTACTTGGCTTACGTGAACTGGCGTTAATATCAAATCCAGAACACCAGACCAGCCAGAGAAAACACCCAGTGGTATAGCATAGGCTAAAGCAATCATCAAGAATCGAAAATTGCTGTGAAGACAAAACATACGCAATTAGTTGCAGCTTATATTAGAAATTGCACCAAGATTAGCTGCTAGAGTAAATGACACCCTAGAATCTATATTCTGCCCATCAAGGAAAATAGCAGCAGTCTTAAGAAGTAGTGAGCCAGGAAAAAGAGAAAGGTATCCAGCCATGTCACTGAAATCCCAGTGGCTGAGATGTTACTGCCTTAGCACTGTGATAATAAAAAAAGCCAGTCTCTCCACATTGTTCAAAGATTTTTGTAACACGCTGGGCTCATGTGTTTCTCATTTCCGCAAGCAATTCTTCTGCATTTGCATGGGCAACCTACTTAGCCTAAGTGTATGTTAGGAACAATAGGCACCAATTTAAATGACAAAAAGCGTATTTCAAGAATAAAATCAGAGACTCATACTTTTTGAACTGTACTTTTTTTTTTTAAACTGTTTTACTTCTCTTTATTGAAAGGTGAAAGGCAGGGAGAGCTCTGGGAATGAGATGGGTACAGTTGCAAGAGTAGAAAATTTTGACAGTTTGAAGTGTTAAAAACCAGAGACAAATACAATATTCTGCTATAAATAGTCAATGTGTTTGCTTTTTCCTCCCAATTAAAATTATCCAACCTTTAGTATTCAGTGAAAATGAAGCAGTCAAAGCTGTGTCATCATCTTCATCGTACACAGCTAAACAGGAGTTGGCAGACAAATACCACCACCAATTTCCCCCACCCACCCACCTTAACCAAAAGCAAATGCAAAATCTTTGCTAAGAGACATCCAACTTTTCCTCAAAAAATGTTTTGATTTGGGAATAAAAACAGAAAATACACTTTGGACTCTGCAACACTGATATTTTAAAGGGAAGAGATTTTACAGTGATTCCAAGGTTATCCCATGGGATATCTGTGTAATCACAAAATGTGGCTCCCCCCGTTCCCAAAGAATTTACATAAAATTGATCCTGATCAGTACCAGTTCCTTGGCATGCAGCAGCAATTTGATAGAACATAGTTACGAAAGCCAGGAGGGAGTGAAAGAGCTTTAAATACCCTCCAAAACATTCAGAGGTTTGCAGCTTACGCTGTTTTACTCCCTAGAAGATCGACGCACAGCACACCAGCCAGCGTTTTTTTGCACCGTTCTTTTTCACACATCCTCTTCTTGAATAACACATTTCTATCACATGAACATATCCTCCTCTTTCAATATCATTCATGTCAGATTTTTTAATGCAAAGAAAAACAACTTCCAAACTTTCAGCTCTTCCACACACTGCTTATATTTCTCTGAATGCTAAAGCATTTGCTGTCTTCCTGACAACTTTTCTTCTCTCTTAACAATACCATACTCTTATCCTAGTCTACCTTGTATCATCTCAGCATCTCTTACAGCAAGTTTTCTGACACTATTTAATACTATCCTTGTAAAACCTATTCCAGTATCTATAGAATAAAATAAAAGGGAAAGTGCCCATTTTGCATGGGCATTATATAGCCATGTTGTAGATTGCAAAGAGGGAACAAGACTGAATGTGCTGTTCCAAAATAACACTTGTTCAACATTCAAAATCTTTGGTTATCTGAACTTCATCTTCATTGAAGAACTACTTTTGGTGGGATTGAGTACTTTGTAACTTACTTGACCAAGATCTCATGTGACGTATTTGTCTTCTGTAAGTCAAGCCAAGAGACAGGCTAGCACGTGGGATAGCTGCTCTGTGCAACTCCTAGTCCCAATACCAGAGAACCAGCTCTGCATCATGACACCCTCCAGTGACAGGGGCTCCCACGCTGCCATCCTGCCTAGCCTCCAAGTTAAAGCAGGTGACCAGGAGAAAGGGTGCATGGCAGTGACAAAGCGGCACTGATCACCAGATGCCATTCTGTCCCCTTGTCCAGCAACAGCTAGCACTGGCTACATTAAATGCTAAAGCTATTTGAAACATACATCTTAAGTAGCAGCTCCACTTTTCATGGCTCCAGTCACTTGTATTTGTTTTTGCAATTTTGCAACTGCTCCACTGAAAATAGAAAAATGTGCTGTCTGTCACACCATCAGCTGGTGAACCCACGCCGCTTTCCATCGTATCAGCCCTTATGACAGGATATCAGCATTAGCCCCTCTGTTAAACCATTCTGCTGGAATACGAATTGGCTTTTTCTCCTGTTTTTTCAGAAACCTACTTAATGCCACTAGAATCCATAAGGCAGGCTGGTTCAGAGGGGAGCCCTGTCAAAGTCAGTCACCATTTTCAGAATAGCTTTGACAGCGCCTATTAACATCAGGCATGCTCTGAGCAGCTTCCATCACTGGATGGTGATGTCATATGAAAGTTTCATGAAAGAAATAATGATGAACAAAAACTCTATTACAAAATTTCAAAATTGCTTACCTAGTCCCTTGAAAATATAAAAGGCACGTAACCAGCTAAAAACATTTAATTACTTCAAACCAAAAATCATGACATGTTTTCTTAATGCAGATTTTATCTTATCGACTATTTACTTGTATCAGAATTTTTTCCATGGAAATTTGTGGCATATTCTGAAATAGGAGGAAAAAAAAAGGCCTATTTGCTTCACCCAAGAAACTGAGAAAGGGCACCATTCTTTTTCTAATGGAAATTCAAACTACACTTGTCACACTATGTGATAGACTGTTAAAAGATTTGGGCTTAGCTCCCAAACCATGACTAAGTTGTCATCTCTCACTGCAGGCTGAGAAAGTTGGTATCAGGAGATAACCAGAGACCAGCTAACCATTAGTCTGCCAGAAGCAGGAATCCTCCAAATCAGGAGGAAGAACCAAGTTCCTAAGCAAGTCCCAAAAAAAGGGCCTATAGGGATGGTTGACCCTAAGAAGATATTTATAATACAACTCTGCAAGAAGCAGCTCATGAAGACGATTGCTCAAGGACATGAAGGCATGAAGGAGTGTGGGAGTTGCAAGGATGTGATAGATCCCTTTGGCGTCCAAGGAAAAAGGTCAATGACTTCAATGGTAAAGTTATGCTATGCAGCTTTATTTTGAAGTAGTAAAACTGCAGCCTGTGGGAGAGAAGAGGGAAATGATGAACATCTCAATTCTCATGAGTGTTTTTTTGTGCGTAGTTGGGTCAGCCCACCAGCTCACGCACATCCTAAATGCCTTACACACAGTTCTCATACCAGAGGGTGAATCTGCAATAAAGGGAAAATCATGATTTCCTGGTACTCATCAGCTGATTACCTTCAGTCTACAACCTTAAGTCAAAAGAAAGACTCTCTTTTGAGAGAGTGCCAAGAATTATGAAGCCTAGATTAGGCAGGCTACAGAGCTTAGAAGCCTAACGAACGAGATGATGGATTTCTCTTGAAGCACGACAGATATCATTTTCTTTTATAAAGCCCCCTTGCTTGATGGATTGTTGCTGAAAGGCTCCCCAAGATAAGTGGGTTTAATGATGAACTGTTGATTGTTTAATGTACAGAGGAATGAAGAAGCACCTTTGATAAGGGGTAGCGTGGAAGAATGCATAAAGACCAGAGGGAAGGGAGATATAATGATCTACCTGACTGCATTTCAAAAAACCTCTTGGTTCTTGGCGACACTATAAACTATGCTCATTATTTAAGCATCCAGATTGTTTTCTTAAGTTTCATTGATTGTGAATAGTAAGCCAGCTTTGCTGTTTACCTCCTGACCTTACCAGTATCTCAGGTCCACCGTTTACACCACTTTGAACAAGGAATCTAACGGTTATAAAGCTCCCAAATGGAGTACTGTCAACAGAAATTTTGAATTTCACCTACGGAGTCAGTTGTTATTTGGATTTCTGTCCAACAGCAATGTTTTTATAACACAGCCCTGAAGCAGGGTCTCACCGCACACCAGCTTGGGTGCGTAACAGCATTATTGTGTGTGCTAAGTGTTCTTATGGGAATTGCTATTTTTTAATATCCTGAGTAGGCCACTTTGCAGACTAACCAGCCAGCTGTACTCACATCTTCTCCCAACTGCCAGCCTCTTCAGGATGAACACACAGGATTAAGCATCTTGTCAACTATTTACTCCCTCAAACTGAAACAAAAGCCTCCAAAAACAAAAGAAAAAAACCAATGACAAAAAGGGATGAGTTGTTTTTGCTGGCTCTAAATACACTTTGAGAAAGTACAGCACACAACAGGTCTGTAATAACCAAATACCTAAAGCTCCACAATTACCAAGTTTCAAGAGCTCTTTGTACACAGATTCAGCTCCTACCACTACCTCACCCAAGAAACAATTACAGCAAGAGTTTGAAGCTCTCCGGTGAAGTCAGCCATACTCTGCACTGTGGGAGCGGTTCTTTGCCCCAGGAAGTTCATCTCTGCAGTGTCACCTACAGGGCACAGGCCTTCACAATTATTCAGCATTAATATTACAGCTGTTCCTCTGAGATCAGATTCCCATTACACAAGACATTGTACAAACACTGGGGATGGGACTGTGTCTTACCAAAAGAGCCCAAGTGGGAGAAGCTGCAAAGCTGGACATGTCACTTCCTTTATAACTTTTTTTCAAACCCCAAAATTGAAAGGAAACTAACTCACCTTTGAACCTGTCCAGAAACACATCTAGAGACACTTCTCCTATCCCCACTTCATATTTTAACATACAATTAATAAGATTTAATAGATCATATAATGGTTTCAGATAGTTCATTCATTGCTCCCCCAGCTGAATAAAAGCAGTTGGATACTCCTTTGAACGACAAGCAAACTCCAAATTCATTCCAATATAATAAGCATGGAAGAAAGCACCTTATTCATTAGCTATGCCCAGTGCGGTTAATTGTTATCTCACACTTAGCAGTACGCACGCTGTTAACAATCTTGTATAACCTGATGGAACAGAAGCATTGCATAAGACAAGCCATGCTAACAGGATGACTAAAGCATCATTGGTTCTGAAGGACTCTGGCATGAAGACTTGAGATATACCCAATGATTTAAAATTTAATGTCTGCTTTTTAGCACTTAGCATCCTTTTATGTCTCAGCATTAATATTTAATTTGATTTTGTTTAAAACCAACTTGTTTGTTCAATGAGAAGATTAAAGCACACTTGTTTTTATTTATTCAGGTGCTGATCTGCTTTGAAGTAGAAACCCAGCAAGGACCTACCTTAAGAGTCTGCAAAAACTTCTCCTGTAGCTGAGCCGTTGACTCGCTGCCGCCACGCTGGGAGGGAATGGAGGGCGTGAGGGGAAGTAGGCCAATGCTGCGGAAAATATCAGGGAAACCATTCCAAATTCTGAAGAACAGGGCGAAGAAAAACAAAACTGAGAACAGATGTTAGCATCGAAACACTTATTTCAGTACAGCATTGTTATCAGCCAGCCTCTGATACATAAATCCCACTACAAGTGCTTTACTGCTCCCGCCAACAGAACTCCATGACTTGAAGAATTTCTTTTTTCCTCTCCAAACAAGATTTCAAATTGAGATGGAGAATCAATGAGATGGAGAAATACCGGCAGTCCATTCCAGTGACAGGAGCTGCAGAGAACCAGGCTCACACATGGGGAACTCAGTGAAGCAAATGGAAAGCTTTTGCTTTTTCTCTTTAGAGAGAACTGCGTTATGAAGATTTGGCCTCGTTTCCTTGCGATGGAAGTAACGCAGTGCAGGTATCAGCGTGCTAGAGACTTTAAACAGATGGGACTGGGGAAGCCCCAGGGCATGGAATGACAATTACTCGTGCACAGGATGATGAAGGCAAACGAAAGGTCAAGCAAGGCAGCATCTCAGACACAAACAGTATTACATGGCAACAGAATATAAAGAGAAAAGTGTAGGAGCAGCCATGGCTCAGGAATAGAAAGACCATGGGTAACAGGGAGAAAAATGAAAGAATACAGCTGTTTGCCGATGCTCCTCTTATTCAGCAGCAAAATTGAAAAACTTCACAGCAGAAATTTGGACCTGAACTTGCAAAGTGATGAGCACTTCACAGAAAATACGTAGCAAGCCCCGTGATCAAACATTCTGAGGAAAAACAACTCTACCCACAGTCAGTCTAATTAATTTGTTTTACGGGCCTTTTACAATGTATATCATGTTCACCACAGTGCTCAATCCCAATATTTCTCCTATCCCCTTTGAAAACAATATTCTTTCCTATTGGAGAGAAAAATGTATAGCTGAAGCGTGTTATCTTAAAAGAACATGTGATCTTATAACAAAGAAGTGTTCACCGACACCACAAATAAATTTCAGCAGAGCTAGATACTCAATTGCATTAATTTTCTTTTTTCTTCTCTTTTTTAATAAATCAATATGAACATGGCACTTTGCCAGCTCTTCTGCTAAACCAGAAGAAAATAAATTCAGGAAGCTGAAAAGTAAATAACGCTCGGAGTCTAAATGGATCAGTTGGAGATGGGGAAGGGAAATGAATGCTTCTATTCGGTATATGGGAAAAAAGTCTACACGAAATTTCTTTTGAAGGCATACCGGGAATGTGACAATGCCATTCTTCACGATCAAATACTAAAGGATTCCTTTTGAATTATGTGGTGTCTCTTTTCCTGCTGTGGTCTAATTACATGTTTTGAGGGTCAAGGGCATTTAACTAGACCTTCTCACTGTATCTCCTCTGCTCTCCAGAACTTTGTGCACATTGTTTTTGAGATCATGAGCAGTGAATAAAGAACTGGTCATAACTGCTCATCCCAGATCTAAGAAAGGGATGAGATGCTTTGTCACTACAGGATGATACTAGACAGGGAAGCAAGGCTTGCCAAAAGCTGTTTATCCCCTTCTCCTGCATCTAGGTCTACATGTAGGTTTATAGGTATACATATGTACCTGCATACGCACACTTTAATCACATATTAAAGGAAGATTTCAGACTGCAGACAGGTAGAGCCAACAAGAATGTGACCACACAAACCCATAAACTTTGTCCGAGGTGTTTATTATTTAGCTTCATTATACTGCAATGCTGTAAAGGGAAAGGCTAGGTCTTTTTCTAAAGAATGTAAAACATGTTGATAATTTTTTTAAGTCACAGTAATATTTTATAACAGCTGCCCATCTGGGGCCTCTTCTATGGGTTGCCTCAAGATTCCTGCCAGTCAAATTGCTTCAGTAGGAGCAGTAGAGTAACACTTCTTTTTTTTTTTTTTTTTTTTTTAATTATTAAATTCAGCATGCAGTCCTTGTAGTACCTTCTTGCAACTCTTTAATGTTTCCCAGTGTTATACTTTCCAGGCTAACAAATTTGCCTTGCAAGCACTGCCCTCATGCACAAAAGAGCAGAATTCACTTTGGAAACTAAAGCAGCTCCCTCTATTGAAGAACAAAAGTCTTTAGTGCCATCTTAGCTTTGTGTATCACACTTGCATCTCTATCAAAAGCCCAGGTACTGCCAAACACATCCTATTTCTTACATGTTGCATTCCTTCCTCATCAGGAAACCCACACCTTTATCTCCATCATCATTTACTCTACCAGACTAGCTAAAGAAAAATACATTCCCAGGACAAGTTTTAGATTGTAAGTAGGGAGCAGAAGTACGCAAAAGAAGAAAGGTAAGAAATAGGTCAATATGGAGACCGAGGGAGCTGCAGTCACAAAAGAGAAGCCATCGGCTTCTCAGCAGCGCAATGGATGCAGTAAAGCACTCTGAATTGGGCAAGTCAGCATAAACTAGTGTGCAGAAACACAGCCGTGTATATCTTTTGTTGAGCAGTGAATTTGGAATGCTTCACAAAAGCTGGGCACCACACCACAGTGACCTGTGACGGTCAAAGTGGAGAGCTGCCTGCATCTTAGCCTAGGAAGTAGGCACCCTGCTGCCTGTGTAAGCCCCAAACAGAAAAAAGAGGTTTACAGAGACATAAGCCTCCTTGATACAAGGTCTTTTTCCTTCAGATAGGGTACTCATAGCACAAAAACCTACCCAAACCCAGAAACCCTCCTCCCCATCTTGTCCTGAAATGGAAAAGGGGAACGAGGGAGCTTTGCATACACATGCTTTTTTTTTAAACAAATAATGATTTTGACATTGATATTTAGAAAAGCACACGGCTAAAAGCTCTGGCTACACTCCAGAATAATTCAAGCTTCCTTACGCAATTCAGGTAATACAATTCAGTCCTGATTTGCTACATCTGTACTATTTCAGCTGTGAACCAGAATGTGCAGCGACACAGATGACACAGAAAGAGGCTGTGGTAATTCATCTGAGCTCTTAGTCCGCGTTTGAGGTAAAGGAACAGCAATTTATCAAAACACAGAAGAGACTGGAGTTAACAGGGCAATTTCAGAATGGGTTTATAAGCAATTGCTTTGTAATCATGTTTGAGGTTAAGTCCTTGGAAAATTAGCACACTCTTGGCATGCTACTGATCCCAAGTTAACAATTCACATCATTACCTCCTTTTAAAAGTCACCACCTAACTTTTGGAGGCTGCTTATCTAACGCTACCTCACACAAAAGCAAGAAGCTCCATCACAAACACAACTCCGTTAAGAATGCAGAGTGCTTATCCTCTGAAACTGGCTTTCCCACAGTATGTGAAAGGAGAAGTCATACCAAGCCTGACCACACTTGCTAAAGAAGTGGGGAAGTGGGACATTTGGGTCCAGCTCCTTGTTCTGCTACAGTCTGTAACACCTTTACCAGTGATCTGTGAAGGCAATTTGAGCTTCATTTTCTGCCCAGCTGATTAAGGGGACAAATAGTACCCTACCACACCTACCAGGTATTTTTTGGTCTGCAAGCGAACGGAGCTGTACGACTACCACGAGGCAGTCATCCACCACGAGGCGGCCTTCCTTCCACCTCTGGAGCCGACCTGGCATAACAGAGCACAAGGGAGGCAGACAGCGGGGACCTGGCTCCTTCAGCTCTCCAGGGAAACAGGGCTGAGGTGAGACAGGACAAACCCCACAAGGGATTCAAAGCAACCTCCTCTTTGACAGTTCCTACCAATTTTAAACGAGTTGGACGTTCTGCCACCGTCACTGCGGTTCACAGCAGGCCAGTAACGTTCACGAACCAGCTCTTTTTCGTTGCCTGAACAGCTGAAGGGGTTGTAGCTCCTGAAAAGACACACCCCGTATAACACAACCACAAAGAAACCACCTCTGTTGAAAGCACTTTCAAATTTTAAGCACTTTCAAATACTACAGATGCCCCACAAAACACATTTCCTAGAAAGCTGAAGAGCTGCTGTAGGATCATCTTACGCTGGGACCAATGACCCCAACCAGGCCTAGGGGATGTTCCCAAACCCTTGCCGGCTCAGAAAGGCAGAAAGAGCCGTGCTGAGACACGGGGCAGGCAAGACACACCTCTGAACCTTGGTCGCAAGCAACATCCATCCCAATTTCTGAAGAAAATGCTTAGGAAAACCTCCCGGAAGAGAACAGAAGAGAAAGTGAATCTAATGGGCTGCTGAAAGCAACATTTCTAGTGCTACCAGACCCAAACCAGTGGTTTTAGGCACAAAACTGTACTTAGGCGGATGAATCCTTCTCTCTCCATAGAAAATCTGTAGAGGGAGAGCTAAAACAATTCTCTAATTGCCAGATTCTTCCTCCCCTTATCTACTGCTCCTCAGGACAAAAGCTGGTTTGCCTTCATTTTTCCCTCTTTCACACTGGCCGTTTTCATCCGCCATTAGATTTTCAGAGTCTAACATCATAATTACCTCTGAAAAAGGCCGAACCAAACCCAAATTTCCTTGTTGTTCCAACACACTTGAGTCCAGTAAAAAGTAGGTTACTCAAAAACACTTGCTGAAATAGTGACCCAGCTTCTACTATGCTTTCTTTAAAACAAACAGTAAAGAGGCCCTCACCCATTAACACTATTAACTCGACAAAATTCTGTAAGAATAATGTCCAGGAATAAATGATCACAAACAGCTAACTCAATCCCATAAACCTGCATATAAACTACACAGTATATATACTTTAAGACTTCTGGAACACTTAGGGCTAACTCCTTGCTGAATTTCAGAGGCTGCAATTATAAGGGGGGAAAAACCCAACCAAATGTGCAACTGCCATGACACGGTAAAGTTCAGCTGCTCTTAATACCATACTAATTTATATCCACTAAGAATCAGATCATAGACTCTTAAGGCACTTAAGCAACCTCTTTTTCCTTAAAGCTTGCTGCTAATTTTTTTAAGTGACTCAAAGAGCCGTAGAAGCCATTGCATGAAAAAGACCAAGGACATAAAACCCAAGTTATATCAGGCGAAGTTTTGTATCAGTGGTTTTTTTCCACTAAACTGTTGTCACTTCATTGAAATTGCTCACCACATAAGAATTATGTGGTTTTAGTTAAAAATGAAATCTATTGGGTTTTAATTTCAATGTTAGATTCTTAAATACTAATAATCTAATCACATTTGAAAGGCATACGCAAGTCATAAATTAAGGCTGATTTAATGCAGGAAAGAATTTAATGCTGAAAGACTATTGGATTTCCATCCTTACAGAAACAAAAGAAAAAAGCCAACCTTTCATGGACACACTTTTAAAATGAAAATTCAAGAAGCAAAAACCAGTTTGGAAGCTCAGGGAAAGCATAAGCTCTCCTAGAAGACATTTCTCTTAAGATCAGCCGATACAAACAACTGAAATACTTCATTTGGAATCGGTCTGTACAAAAGGCTATTTTTAAATCTTTCCTACACAAAAGAGAAAAAAAATTAACCCTTCTGATGGTACAACATTTTACCACTTCATTACTTTCCATCAGACAGTAATTGTTTCCGTGCAGACCAGCCACTAGAGGGTAGTGGTTCATAAGTACCAAACACACACGAAAGTATGTAAATTTTTTATAATTTTTTCCTTTTTTTAAAATAATTTTTATTTTTAAACCACACCTGCATACAGCACAGCCTCAATACGGTCCTTGATGTGCTCAGTGTTGCTCTGCGATACCAGTGGGAGGTGAGATGTTCCATTAGGAGATGGCACTACAAGAGGTCCCACTAGAAACGCGCCAGCAGCGCCCAAGTAATTGAGCAGCGATGCAATGGCTGTTGCTGTGGCACGTTCATCTGGAGAAAACCACGTCGTGGAAAGAAATGGTGCTGCGTTCATCACAGTTGGCCCCGCCAAGCCATTTAACAGCTGCCCTCCATGAATTAGCCTGGAATAGAGAATACAGACCACAGTCATTTGGATGACAATTGCTTGCCTCTTTTTTTTTTTCCCCCTCAATTAAAGAAGCAGGTAAGATATTGAATGCTGGAGATGGAGTGACTGCACAAAGAAATGAAAGTCCTGTGCAAGAAAAGGATATTCTACACGCTAAAAGAAGCCCAATTAGACTGATTTAAAGAATCCAGAGCTACTCTGGTCTCATTACCTCAGATAAATGGAGAAGCAAATATTCTCTTCAAAGCATGAAAGGAAAAGGGAATAAAAGGGACTTTCTTTGCAGAAAAAAGGTATCATGATAGGATATAAAAGTAGAAAAGGTGTAGTAGCAGAAAAGCTTTAAATTACAAACGTCTTAAACCTGACCCCTTGCCTGCATAAATCTCAACAGAAGATTTAAATTAGTTATGGCAGATCCAAAAAAAATGGAAACACTTCAGCAAAATACTCTGCATATTTTTTCACTGCATTATTTATTTTTATTTACACACTCAGATGAGCTCTATGTGCCTACAGATGAGGAGGCTGGGCTGTTGAGGTTTCCAAGAGAATCGTCTTCTCCAGCAATCTGGCCATACTCAACATACTGTTGAAATAGCTAAGCAAACCCAGATTTTTCTCGTTTTTCACACTCATTGGGATGTAACAGATAAGACTGGTGACAGAACAGAGATAGTACTTCCAAGCAGTGAAGTCTCTAAAAACTTTGGCTTAATATTAGTACAATAAGCACACACAGAAAGGACTTTTTGAAGGCTCTTCTATACGTGGAAGTCAGCCAGAAACCTTCTACTTTGATTTTTCCAAAAAGTGATCAGTTGTGAAAGGCAAAAGCATTTTGGAATTTATAGAAAAACCTCATGTCTAAAAAACAGCTAGCAAGTCAAACAAAACATTGCAACCCTCCAAAACAGATCTATCCATTGTGCAATAAAACGGTGGCAGATGATATTTTTAAATGGGTGGTGTTTTTCTAAGCATAGCAGGAACTTGATGTAATTGCTGCAAGACTTGAGTTGTCAGACATAAAAAGCTATGGCCTGAAAATGGGGAAATATAAGCTAGCATTTAGGCAATGTTTCAAGCCACAAATGGTTGAATAATATACAGTGTAGCAGGAGTTTTTTAAAGCACACAAAGGAACAAAATATGCAAAAGATACGCTGACAGACTCTTTATCAAATTAACAAGCTAGACTGCAGTAAAGAGGAATAGATGCTACTGATTCTCAGTGGATTAGAAATTAAATTTTTAAACAAAATTTATAAAGACATACAGGAAAAAAGAAAAAGCCTCTACATATCATCTCAAGGAAACACTTCCTGAGCTGGGACAGAAGTAATATCCACTCTTAAATGTAAGCAATTGCAACTTCCACATAGCAAGTATAGATTTTGTTACTATTTGTTCATGATGTGCTTCAGATGGACATCACCAAGGCATGGTCAGGCCTTTTTAATGCTTGTTAAACTGGGGCCCCCCAAGAAAATAAAATGAAATAGTTTTAAATACATAAAAAGCACTATATAAATACTGCTCTGGTATAGTTTTCTGGGGGACACATTACATGAATCCCTTACGGTTACGCTCCAACCCAGTGTCCTTCGGACAAACCAAGGTATCCTTGTGCACTTTGGTATTTTCATTCTACTTATCTCACTACAGTAAGTTATTCTCAAACTTACCCTAAACTGTTCCAGGGTATTTGGAGAGCTATGCTACATCCCCAGAAACAGCTACATTTCAGTAGCAAGTGAGGTAACTACTGCAACATATAAAGATTTTATTTTAGTATTTTCTCTTCCTCCAAAGTGAATTTAATGCTTAAATTGTGGTTTCATTATTGTATGCTAGGAAAACTGTGTCACCACAAAATAACCTTTATAGCTATAGGTGCCATACTAACACTTTTGTTCACTTATACCACTGTGATAACATTGTTTTAATTCAAATACACCTACTCTATAGAAATCCAAATAAAACTCACTGAGATCAGAAAAACGTACAATAGTTTTTCTGCAGTGCCTATGGATATGTAGGCACTTCATCTGGTAGAAGAAGAAAAGTTTTTTTAAAAAAACCCAAACAAACCACCAAACAAAAAACCCAATTCATCTATTGAGAGAATTATATGTACTCCTTTCATATACTTACACTTCAGAGTTAGATTATGTCTATCAAACTCCACCATCAGAATAAAGCTCTATAACTGACGTCTATACTTGAGGGAGGCACAGATGTTAATTTTACTTTGCAGATCCAAAGGGAGAAAGTATCTTAATCCAGAACTTTAATTCTACATTACTTTTCTGTCTTTTTTTTTTTCAAAGAAAGAGCCAATTTTTGTCTCTCTGTAGGTCTCCTCCATTGGTGTTCTCCTGCCTGCTCTCTCTCCTGCTTTGCCCTGCCTGGTGTGCCGTCTGTTCCCATGGATTTGCCCTTCAATCTGCATTTTTGGCATTTACCAAGCTTGACGTTATCATCCAGCATAAAGCATCTCTTATCTTTATATTGCTTAATTTTTCAGATCTAACATATTGCAGTGAATAAACACTATTTTCAGACTAAATTGCCATTGATATACAGACTACTACCTCAAATGCCTCCGCATATGACAACAGCCTAAACCTTATTTTATCTGTTTTTCAATACTGGCTTGAATTAAGCTACTTTTTCTCTGTGAAAAAGATTATTTGCATTGTTCCTCTACACGTCCTTAACTCATTTCCCTAGAGAGGCAGGAACGAGAGATTCAAAACGCAATTCAGTGCATTTACTGAGCTGCTACTCTGGGAGACACGTAGCAGTCACTCCATCTGACAGAGAAATATGAACGCAACAGTACTGGTGGCTTTTTGCTGTTTGTTACAGCGACTTATCATCACCGCGCTAGATTTTGGTCTCACAGCCCATAGGAATCTCCTCTTGTACGCCATCAGTGCTAAAAATTGCTCCAGCAGCAAGACATTTGTTTCTGTTACTCCCCAGTTTTCTTCTTGTTTCTGCTACCGAAAAGGTGCAGAGAGCAACTGCATTTTTCCCTGTCACTATTTCAGTTTCATTCTGCGCAACAAGATTTCTCTTCCCTGAGAAAAGGACTAACAAGATAACTTTAGCTCAGGACCCTACTCAGATGGAAAAGTATTTTTCAGTTTTATTACACTAACAGGGTAATTTTCATCTGTTATTTATCCAGCTCTGCTCTGTTTTCAGATGCATTATTTATCCAATCATCATCTAATTATTTTCATGTATCAAAAAATAGAAAGTTATTGAGTTCAAATAATAGAAAATAACACAAGAGTAGAAGGCTTTTTAATCACAATCATGAAAGAGAAAATTGGAAAAAATGACACCAGGAATTCATCCCTGACTTATAAAATAATTGATGACTGTCTAGCTTAAAGCAAAAATGGGAAAGTAAACATCTACCCAAAATACCTTATTTCTAACCATTTCAGAAGCCAGATCAGGGACTCATTTCGAATTTTCAAGGTTTTTGCACACCTGACCTCTGCGCTAATGAATTTTTGTGCTCTTCCAAACTTGTAACTTGCAGTTGAACACATAAGCCCTTTACAAAAAAAAAAAAAAAAAAAAAAATTATTTGAGGACTGGTAGTAAATGCTAGTGCTAAATATCATGTGCCATAGCATCACAGTAATGGATAACTTACACATTTACATGATGTGTATATCTATCTATATATATAAAAAAATTAATACACAGACATATATACACACACACACCCCCTTGCACAAAATAAAGATCACATTTTTTCCTAAACTGGCCTCTGAATTGCAAAAAAATAGTACAAGGGATAGTTCAAATATAACAATAGAAATGAGAGAAGAAACTCTTTTTGTACTATGTTGTGATCTCTTTTCCAAATTTTTGTCAAGTCACATTATGAATAACGTAAATTATATGGTTTCCATCACTTCCCTAAGAGAAGACTATATATGAGTATTAAGAAGTAACCTGGTTATACCTGCTTTATTCACTCCCTGCTGTCACTGTTGCAATATCTTAACAGGCGACAACAAAAAAACCATGTAAGGTTATAAATGCTGAAATTACAATATCACTGAGCAAACTGGATATGAAAAAAAGTGAAATTATACAGAAAAAAGGTTTTAGTGATTGATGATAATACCATATAGTTAAGATGGGAAAGAGCTTCCATTTACAGTTGGCTTTATTTACCTTTTTCTCCCTGTACGGGTTGAAACTTTTCATGCATGGTCACAGTCCCATCAGGTATTGGATTTGTTAAGCTATTTAAAAGCTGTGTGTTACATAAACACTTTTTCTATGTAAAAATCCCAGACATTTAGTGTTTCTACCACAAGTATGTCTCATGCCTGGACTTCAGAGAATTTTAAATGAAAGAAAGTCTCATTAGTTTCCATACTCAGATGGGGAAACAAAGGCAACAGTAGAGGGAAAATGGCTTACTCAAAAAATTATTTTTAAAACAACAGTTTTAAACCACAACACTAAAATAAGTCTCCAAAGCTCAGTTCTAAGATGTGTTAATTGAACTTGTCTTGGGAAGGCTAGGACTGGAGAAGTCATATCAATATTTTAACACTGATTAACAGAGCGGAAAAAGCGTTTTCACCTTTTCTTTGGCAGGCAACGCAGGGGAAGAGCGAGGCCGTCGGCCCCAGTGCATTGCTCTGACTCTCTGAACACAGATTTTCTCTACCAGCCTCTGATGAGCCCCTGGTCAACTGGGAAATCAGGTTCCTCTGGATCCTAGGAGGGAGCAGAGCTCATCCCAAGAGCCTTGTGAGGACGAGATTTTGGTGCAGTTTTTTTTCCTGAAACTTTTACCATGCCTTTCCTACTAGCTGCCATGAGAATTGACCACTTAGTCACTATTCAAACTTCTATACAAATGCAATGAAAAAAAATTGGTAATTCAGTTTTGCCGCCGTTTAGCAAAGTGTGAGGAGCAACAAAGTCGCTGAGAGCGCTAGCCTG